ATGGAAATCTCTGTCCACAGCCCTGGCGATCTGCTAACCAACAGCCAGCACCAACTTGCCAGCCATATGAACTAGCCATCTTGAAAGCAGAGTCAAACCAGCCGACACTGCCTAGAGCAGAGCAGAGTGTGTCAGCCAGGTCCTGCCTACGTTGGCTATTCATAAACAAAATAAATGATTGCTGTTGTTCTATTCCACTAAGTTTTGGAGTGGCTTGTTACATAGCAATGAACAGCTCACATAATATTTTTACTTCCTTTCCAACACCAACAGATCAGAGTGCCTTCCTGGTGTGTGGTATTTAGAAGAAGAATTCTTGGGATGGGATGAAGCTTACAGGGAAAGAGTTCATGACTGATTAGTGAAATTATACATTGGTCATAGTAATGAGTGAGGGCATCAGTGCTATTTGCCAATCCTGTTAGTATCCAGCACTCTCATTTTATACAGTCATCCCTCCCTTTCCACAGTAGATTGGTTTCAGGACCCCCAGAACACCAAAATCAGTGGACGCTCAAGTTCTTTATATAAAATGGCACAGTATTTGTATATAATCTACGCACATCCTCTAGTATACTTTAAATCATCTCTAGATTACTTACAATACCTAATACAATACAAATGTTATGTAAATAGTTTTTATATTCTACTGTTTACGAAATAATGACAAGAAAAAAATCTATACATGTTCAGTACAGACACAACCACCTTAAGCCTTTCGATTGGCAGTCGGTTGAATCCACAGATGCGGAACCGTGGATACGGACAGCTGACTGGATTTTGAATAAGACAGAATGCAGGTGGGTTGTGACCTGCTCAAGACCACACAAATATTTAGTACCAGAGCCAAACCTCTAAATCAGGTCTTCTGAAGTGCAGTTTAGTATTCTTTCTACTTTGCCTGTCCCTTCTCAATAACAGATTCCAGAGATCTAAACCATAGGATGTAGAGCAGCAAATATATGCCTGGGTGTTTCTACTTCCCCCTCCATGCCTGTGACAGACATTATGAGTCATGTGTAGAGCTCTCCTAAGGTGACTGATGAGCATGTAGACGATAGACCCAAAATGCCATCAGAGAACCTAAGTAGAACATGCAAGAGCTATACCTGATTTGTATCAGGAGTGTCAGAAGAATACAGCAAAGACGGGCTCAAAATACAGGCTGTAAAAGGATTTGATATGGAAATACATTGTGCCTAAGCAGGAGGAAAGGCTTTAGACATGCCTGCCTGGGATCAAGGACATCTGAACCAACACATCAACTTACTTCCTCCAGAATCTACTAAGGAATCGCTTCCCACATCCTTGAGGAACTCTGCTGCTGATCCTACTAGACAATTTCCATTTAATATTTTTAAACTTATTTTGTTGTAGTTGGAAAAAACTCTGTTACTTTAGTTCTATAAAGTATATTGTGTATAAATAATTTGGCCTCCTCCTGAATACAACAGAACTGGAATGCATACAACACACAACAACAGAGCAGTACTGGAACATTGTATACTTTCATGGTTCTGCTCTTCATAATGCACTTGGCATTGCCTGAGAGCAAAGTAGTCTCAGAAAAGAAAAGACGATTTCCAGGGTATGATTTAAAAGCAGAAGTTACAAACCTATAGCATTGTGGATTTTAGGGTAGCTTGCTAAGAAGTGCTTCATTCATTCTTTTGTTCACTGAGTACCTAGTATGTGCAAGGTATTCTGTTGAACTAGAAGAATAGAAGATGAAACAGGCAGGGATTTTGTCTTCAGGCTTCTCTGGCAGGGACCCCACCATCCTCTTTTAACAGAATAGGGATGAGAACACGGGCCTAATGAGTTAGAAATCCAAATGTTGGCCAGTGGCACCCAAACACAAGAACATTGGGTTTAATCACTAGAAGCTGGATACATCACTACAATTGTCTACACAAATCAGTAGGCTTCAAAAATATTAATAACATATCCCTTTCTCTACCTATCTCTTTCTCTTTCTCTTTCTTTTTCTTTCTACATGGATTACATTATCATTTGAAAAATTACTAATTGCTGGATCACTTAGATGCATTCCTGTGCTCTCAGGAAGTTATTCCTGGTAATGAAATTCTTTTCATCAGCTTCACTTTCAGATTTGCAATACAGGCTTGTCCTTTAACAAGTAAGTGTTCTTTTCAGAAAAATATGCAGCAGATGTGGCAAAACAGAAATATAATCTTCTTGGAATTGGACTGGTTTGGATAACAATTAAACTTTCCTTTTTTGTACTTGGGCTTTATTCTTCTAGTAATTTCTCTGTCTACATCAAATTTTCAGGAAGGTAGAAGTCATCATTTTGTGTAATTTATTCTCAAATCTTCAAACAAAGGTCAGTAAACTTCTGACTTCTTTTCAGATTTTTGTGCTTAAGAGCTGTTGATCTATATTTCCCCTGATCTTTTCTGGAATAGAATATCTCAGTACTTTCCACTGGGTTTTCCTAAAAACCAGCAACTTGTTTTTCAACTAATAATCTTAACCCAACCACCCTTCAAAGGCCTATAATGTCTGTTAAGCACCGGCGCACAAGAACAAGACAGAAAAGAATCTAAAGAAAGGGGACTTTCTAGTCAATCCAATCCGGGTTCCATGTAAGGCTCTGCCCTTCCCTGTGTGACTCGACATAAATGACTTAGTCTCACTGAGCCTGTTTCCTTATCTGTAAAATGGGGATAAAATGTACATTGAAATGTCATTAGAATTAAGTGCAATATGAGAGCAGAGAGCCTGGCACATAACAGGAGTTCCTTAAACAATAATTTCCCTTTGCCTCCTCCTGAAAATGACAATGATAAAGCTCAGGATTTAATCATTCAAACCTATAAACAGTTACAAATGCAAACCCCTCAGGTCCCAATCAACTTTTCTGACACTTTGATATGTAGAAGATTTGGCATTTCTCCTCTTTCTTCTTATTGGTAAAAAGCACCCCACATTAGGGAAAATGAAAATTCGGGGGGAAAAAACCACCTATAATTTCATCATCCTAAGACCACGATTGTTTCTATTTTTGTCGTGGTCTGGCTTTTATACCAAACGGTCACATATTCTCCACAGTCGCAATCAAGATGTGCTTATCATGGCATCATCTCTTTTAAGGTACTAAGAAATTTATTCCAGGGGACAGTGGGAAGCAGCTGAAGAAGGCATGGAAGGCTGCGGAGGTGTTCAAGTTCTCTTAAGATATTGTTCAAACCTTTCTCCAGCACAGAAACTCCACAAAGAACTCCCTTGCAGTTTTCGTTACCCAGGGCTGTTTCTTTAAATTGTTTGACGTCAGAGAAGGAATGCTATAGCAACAGTCTGTCAAACTGGAATTAACGCAGAAGAAAGATGGGGGTGGGGAGAGGAAAACTGCTCCCGGGCGGGACTGACTTCAGAGGAAGCAAACTGGGTAGATGCATTCATTTTATGACATTTTAAACATAAAATACCCAGAGAAATGTGAAAAAAGTCAGTTGAGAGGCGTATGATGTTTAACTCATGCAGAGATGAGCGACTTGACTGGGTTATCTGGAAGGCCTGGTTTCCTCCGTGACAATAGTAACAATAACTTCCAAGTATTGATCATTTATTTGGAGGCAGGCTCTGTGCAAACATTATCTCATTTAATATTTTAGCACCTTTAGGAGGCAGGTATCACGATCTCTATTTTGCCGAAGACGAAATTGAGACGGTCCACGGCCACGCAACTAGCGATGGTAGAGCTGGGATTACGGTGCAATTTTGTATGACTCTGGGCTTCAGTTTACTTTCTTACATTTAGGATTCCAGAATGTTACACCTAAACGGGACCTTGGGGTCTTCTAACTCAGCCCCCGCTCCTGCCCACGAGCACCCTGAGGCCTGTGCGGGGCCAGGAGGGAGACTGGCCACATCACTTGGGCGCTACTCAGAAGGGTGCTGCGGCGTCCAGGCGCCACACTAACCAGAAAACGAAACTGTCCGGGAATTCATGTTTTTCTTCTCCTTCTAGCAGGAAATGAGAGAGAAAATAGGAAGCAGAAGCGGCGCGCTGGTCCCCGCCGCCTTCGCCCCGCGCCCGGGCCGCGCGCGCTCCGGGGGCTGCGCGCGCCCGTGGCGCGTCCCCGCCGGGCCCGCGCGCCTCGTGCCTCGCGCCTCGCGCCTCGAGCCACGTCCCCGCCCCGGCCTCGGCGCGCCGCGAGTTGGCTGCCGGGCGTCGCGGGCTGGGTGTGGCCGGCGGCTCTCGGCGGCGCTGGGCTCGGCGGTGCGCTGCGCTCTGCACGCCGGCTGCGAGCGCGAGGGGCTGCGGGGCGCCCGGCGGACCCAGGCAGCGCGCGGGCGACGCGGGCCCGAGCTCCCTCCAGGTAGGCGCCGATCGCGCGGGCTGCGGCTCGTCGGGGCGCCCCGCAGGAGATCCGGGCTTCCCGCAGGGGGCGTGAGGACCCGCGGAGCCGCCCTGGCGGAACCTGGCCCGGCTGGCGGCGCGGGGCCGGCTGGGTCCCTCCTGACTCGGGGACGGAGGACTCCGGGCGGCGGATCCTGCCCAGGAGGGACGGGGCGGGTGCGCCTCGGTCGCGCTCTGCTCCCGCGCGGGGACCGCCGCTCGGCTGCCGCCTCCGGCACTTCCTGGGCCGCTCGGATCGCTGGCTCTGGGAAGCGAGGGGGCGGTCCGTGTCCCTGGCCTCCGGACCCCCAGGTTCCTTCCACGCCCCGAGGCCCCTCTAGGGGTCTCGGAGCGCCAGCTTCTGTTTACCCCGAAAGTAGCGGTTATTCGGGACTGCCCAGAGGGTTATTGGGTGGAGAGCGCTGGGAAAGCGCATAAAAGTTCTCTTCTGAGTGCTCAAAATGAGTCTTTTGGTTTCGTGTTCAATTTATTTTGGAAATGATATGATGCCCAGCATTTTGGATGGGTGGAGAGCGATTAATGGATTTTGAATATTTGTGAGTTCAGTACATGATAACATGTTTTCCTTCTCTCTCCACATTCTTCTGCTTCAAAACACAAGTGATTGCCTTGTACTTTGATGTTTATCGCTATTCGGTAAAGGAGGAATGAATTTCCCAAAGTTTAAAAACAGACTGTCATTTGTTTATAGAAGCAGTGTTTTCTTATTTTGCATCTTTCTCTTCCCTTTTCTTCTGCTCCTTCCCTTTCTCTTTTAGTAAAAGATGTGGATGCATCTTTCTCCCTCTCGGCCACTGGCAAAATAGCTCGTGTGGATTAGCACCCTACCGGGAGGTTTTTTTTAAAACGTTTCAGAATTTGTTGCTTAGGACGCCTTATTATCAGTCCATCTTAGTGTTGCAAACTGAGATTGTGACCTTTAAGGACATCTTCTAGAACAGGGATAGAGAACACACTGCTTATTTAAGATGAAAGGGAAGTCATTTCTAGCTGGCGAGGAAAACGGCGGTCTGTATTGGTAAAATTGTGTGCTTTGAGTCTCTTTGTCGTTGCACATTTTAAGACTTCAGTAAGGGGCTTTTGGGTTATTACTGATCCTAGGCTTTGAAAGTATATTGTATATTTCAGTGTTTGGTTAAGGATCGTTTTAAGATTTTCCATGTTGCATTTTGTTTGTAGAAGAATTTGAAACTGAAATAGAAACTTTTAAAATACCGTTTTATTGAACGCCTTAACTTGTATATATAGATTTATAAAATTATAAAATTGGTTAATAGGGCTTGTGATACATGTAGGTTCGTCTTTTTGTGAGCCATGAGCATTATTTAGGAGGTCATTCTGAGTCCTTGGTTTTGGTTAACTTGTAGAATTCTTCTTTTGTTATTTTTCCAGCTTTATTGAGATATAATTGACATATAACATTGTGTCAGTTTAAGGTGTACGACGTGATGATTTGCTATACGTATATGTTGCAAAATGATTATCACAATAAGGTTAGTTAACACATCCAGCACCTCACATAATTACCCCTTTTGTGTGTGTGGTGAGGACATTTAAGATCTACTCTCTTAGCAACTTTCAAGTACACGAGACAGTATTGTTAACCATTGTCCCCAGGCTGTGCCTTAGATCCCCAGAACTTCTTCATCTTATAATTGGAAGTTTGCACCATTTGATCAACATCTCCCCAGAATTGTTTCTTTTAAGTCATTGGCACTTTAGTATGTCAGCACATATTTTACACTGTAAAAATAGACTCTGGGACATTTTGAAAACTGAGAATTGGAACTAAGTGTTGGACATTTTTCTGCCCTTACCAAATACTTCCTGAGGTGGTGTAATTTCTTTCAGGCATGTTACTGAAGTGCACTGACTGTGTTTTTAGTTTCTTTACCTTGCTGACTAGTTTAATCTGCATTTATTATAGGAACTATTTATTAAACATCTGTTCTGGGCCAGGGGTGATGCCATACATTATTCTATTTATATCTCACATCAACTCGGCATAGGAGACGCTTTCCAGTACTACAGGTAAGGAAACTGTGCCTCTGAGATGTTAAGTAACTTGCCCATGGTCACGTAGCTGTTAAGTAACTCAGCTGGGATTCAAGGCCAGACCTGTCTGTCTCTAAAATTCACGTTCTTTTTTCTGTGCCACATTGCCTCAGTGCCAGGGCATGGGGAATGACACTCAGTTACTCATTAGCATATTTTAAATTTTTCCAAGATGTATGGGAGATGTGTGTTTGTTTTTCCAGCATGATCGTTGCTATCTGTCCCTGTTATTAAACAGATCCTCGGAGCAGCCATTCTCCTCTCACCTGTCTATTCCTGGTTAAATGTCTAGCTCAAAGTTCAAAACCTCCCTCTTGCTGGGGCAGAATTTCTCCTGTTGACATCAACAGGTAGTGATAGCTCAATTATCCTTCCAAAATATTAACCCCATTTTAATGTGGGTTCCCTAGAACCATAGATACAACTAATTTGGAAGGTTACAAACAGGATGGCAATCATATGTGGGAATATGGGAACCCTTTGGTATCCCCCAAATTAAACCAGAAGATATTTTGATAGATATTTCCCCTGCAATCATCCTACCCCACCTACGTCTTCAGTTTCAGTTTCTACAGAATCATTTACATTATTATACAGACATTCTGTTATGTCCCCCATCGTAAAATAAAATTCTTTCATGATCCAGGCTTCTGCCCCATTTCTCTGCTCCACGTTGAGAAAGCATAATTTTTTGATAGAACAAAAATAAATACAGGAGAGGGAACCAGAAACAAGTTAGTTACCTACAGGGAGTGGGTAGGAATGAGTGCAAGGGGTGGTGGAGGGAAGGGCACTGCTCTGATTCTATCTTTTTGCATCGTTTTGAGTTTTGAAAACTCGTTAATGTTTTATATGTTCAAAGATAAAATTAAGAAGCTTGGGAGAAAAAACCCTTCCAAATTTAATACAGACGGCAACAAATGAACCAACTGTATTTCAATGAGTAACATAAACTCTCAGAAGAAAAAAAAAGTAAATCCAAGTCAGTTTTTAACACAAGACTTTGGCTATATACCTTTAATTTAAAGATAAAAAGGACTGCCAAAAAACCCCCAAAAATCTGGAACCCTGTGTAGTAGGCTATTATTTATAGTGGTAGATATGTAGCAATTCTGAAACTGTATTGCGTGTAGTGTAGGATTGAGCAACTGAGTAAATTCATTGATGTTGTGGGAGCCTGGGTTTTCACTGTGGGAGAAGGGAAGTAAAAATATGGAAGAAGGCAATGAAGAACTCTCTGGTGTTGGGTTGGAATTAGAGTTCTCCATGTGAATTTGTGATTAAAATATACACACATTCCTACATTCGTACATAAATTTCCTACCTCTGTCTGATGAAAGGTCCCAGAAGCAATGACACCTTTGTCGCAGTGAGCACACCTAGTGCCCAGATCTAAATGGCTGGTTCCAGAGCTGAGGCAGGAAAGTATAAGAAGAGCCTAGAACGCAAAGTAAAAAAGTGTTCAAGAAAATGATGGCGGCATGTCAGAAGGCCATCATAGGAGATAGCTTGAACGGCCAAATGTGGGAAAATGTGAGCATCAAAATGAGTAATGATAGTAATGGATTATACCCCATTGAATAAAATGAGAATCCACAAGTGTATAATAAATAAATAAACTAAGGAAAAGGACAAAGCTCTTCCGAGTAGCCCGCCGATAAAAAATGTAGAAGGAACAATAGAGTTAGAAAAGTCACCGGTTTGCAAGCATTATGGTAATATTGATTCAGGCAGGCGTTACTAATAGAGAAAGTTTGGGGAAAGAACATTAATGTGGTTTCCAATGATCTCTTTAGAGATGAATGACTGAGAGGAAACAGTAACTTCACATCAACCAAGTGATCAAAGTTAATGTCACCAATAAGTGGGATAAAAGTGTTCCTTTTGATGTGCTTGAGCCAGGGACATCATTACATTCTTGTGGTATTTCTAAAATATATGACCGACATCTAATCGTGAGGAAACAATTGAGGGACCTTAACTGAGAGTTGCCCTGCAAAGTAACTGGCTTGTACTCTTCCAATATGTTAATGTTATGAAAGACAAAGAAAGACAAATGACCTGTTCCAGATTAAAGGAAGTTCAAGACACCTGACAGTGAAATGCAGTGCATAATACTGGATTGGATCTTAGAGTGGAGAATCCAGTTGCCCTAAGAACATTACTGGGACACTGGCAAAATGTGAATATGTACTGAATATTAAATAATAGTGTCATATCGATGTTAGGCTTCCTAAATTTGGTACTTGTACTGTGGTTATATAAGAGAATGTCCTTGTTCTTGGAAGATACACAGTGAATTATTGAGGAGTAAAGGGTCAACATAGCCTCAGTTTACTGTCATATGGGTAAGCAGTAGTAGTTGTTACATATATATGGAGACAGGGATAAAGCAGATGTGGTAAATGATAACAATGGTGAATCTAGGGGAAGGTATAAGAGTGTTCACTATCCTAGTTTTTTCAACTTTAACGTTGAAATTTTAAAAAATGAAATTTAAAAATAAAACTTCAAAAAATAATAAGGCTAGTTTGTATCAAAAAAAAAAAAATCTGTGAAAGGTTCCATGAAGGCTGTTTCTACTCCTCAACTCCTCATCTCCCATCTTCTTCTGAACCTACTCCAGAGAAAGACCCGCTTTATCCTTCCAGTGCCATGAAACCATTCTTCTCAAGGTCACTAGGGATGTCAGTCTTGCCGAATTAGATCTCTTGGCCACATTTGACACAGGTGATAAATAACTCCTTATTTAAGCATTTTTTCCCTTGGCTTCCAGGACACTGACTCTTTCTGTTTTCATCCTGCCTCACTGGCTGTAGTTTCTTATTCTTCTCCATCTCAGTAAATGGTACCACCGTCCATCCACTTGCTTAGGCTAAAAATCCTAAGAGTTATCTTTAATTCCGCTGTTTAGCTCATCCTACATCTGTTTCTCCATTGGCAAGTATTATGGGCTCTAACTTAAAAATTCTTCCAAATTTGGCTATTTCTTATTACCTCCACTGCCACTACCCTTGTGTCAAACTACCATCTTTCCTAGACCGACTACTGCAGTAAGAATTCGTCTTTCAGCTTCCCGTCTGTGTCCCCCAGCAGGCAGCATGATCTTTCAAAGATGTAAATCAAATTAGATTATATCTCTCAGTCATCAGTACCCATTACTATTAGATAAAATTTGGAGTTTTTGCTGTGGTCAAGAGGCCCGCGTGATCACATGGTTGGGCTCCTGCCCCCTCCCTAATCTCTTGTGCGTTGCTGGCTGCCCTCCAGCCTCACCCTCCTCTTTGTTGTTGATTCAGCCTGCCAGGTTCGTTTCTGCATCAGGGTCTGCATTTACTGTTTCTTCTGCCTGGAATGCTCTTCCCCCATTTAAGGCATGGCTCATTCACCCATTTCATTGAGGTCTTTACTTTATTTAAAAATAGCCTTCCTTGCCACCCTCTAGCTTCTTGCAGTTTTTTTTCCCTGCATAGTACTTATCTGTACTTGAAATTATTTATTGATGTGCTTTATTATCTGTCTCATAGACAGATATGGAATAAAGCTCCATGACAACGGGAAGTTCTGCTTGTTTTGTTTACTGCTGAATCCCTGGAGCCCGGAATGTGCCTGGCATGTGGTTGGAACCTAGATATTTATTGACTGAATGAATAAATGCATGAATTAATACTTGCCAACTTTTTTGCTGTATTTTATCTAATGCTATTTCAAATGGAGAAGACTGTCTCCAAGAATCCTCTAACATTAGTGCCCTTTAGAGTTTTTTGGTGACACTGCTAAGGCTTCTCTGGAAGCTAACAATTTGTCAACTTCGTGTTTCACAACTGCGTCTCTCCGTTGTGTGCCCTCTGGTGGAGGTGCTGCTAATAAGCAGGAGATGAAGTTGGAAGAAACAAAAATGGAAGAACCTTGGTCACAAACTGCATCATTAACTTTGAAATTACAAGGATGTGAAAAATTTAATTTTAGGTAAGCCTCTAAATTAACCATAATAAGATTGGAAAGAATGAAAAGAAAAAGGGCAGTAGTTAGATTTAAAGAGATATCTGGCTTAGGATGAAAAAATAAAACTATTTAACTCCAAAGTGTTTTGATTACTTAAAATAATTCCTGCTTAAATATACTTCTTTCTTTTAAAACGTTTTTAGGATTTTGCCATCTTTAGTTGAAAGACATCCTCTTCTCAACTGTAGTCGTAATTTCAGTTAACCTTTGTTGACTTTTCCGTGTGTCAGTTACCGTATGCCAGTGGAGAAGCCAGTATTCACACCCCGACAGGTGGGTCCTAGAGGCTGCACTCTTAACTATTCTGCTTCCCTACAGCCTTCCCCCTAATGTCCTGTGGATGGTACGGTTATCAAGGAATTTCCTTTGGTGCGGTAGTTGTGAACAAAAGATGCAAGTTCACAGCACGTGTGCTCAATGCCATTTTTTCCAGCATGCATTATGGATAGAGCCTTTTCTTCCAGAATTGCTGAGAACTATATCTTATTTAATCTGTTTTGAAGTAGAAATCATGTTAAATGATTTCAGCACTCATGTACTACTGACTTGCGAAAATAGTACAAATTTAAAGTTTTTTCTTTTTATAAGATTGGCACCTGAGCTAACGTCTGTTGCCAATCTTCTTCTTTTTTCTTCTTCTTCTTCTCCTTCCCAAAGCCCCTGAGTACATAGTTGTATGTTCTAGTTGTGCGTGCCTCTGGTTGTGCTATGTGGGACGCCGCCTCAGCATGGCCTGATGAGCGGTGCCATGTCCACACCCAGGATCCGGACTGGCGAAACCCTGGGTTGCTGAAGCAGAGCGCATGAACTTACCACTTGGCCACGGGGCTGGCCCCGTAAGTTTCTTTAATGTTCCTATTTAATAGTTAAGGCAGTATACAGCTTAAAATTTTTTCCCCAGTTTTAGCTTTAACAGGGTTGGTTCCTGTGCGGTTATTACCAAGGAAACAGTATATACCTTGCTGGGTAAG